CCAGTCATTCTGCTACTGGCTCTGGCTACATATTGAAAACTAACCTTGAATAAGAATATTTCCCAAAATGTCAAAAATATACACTGTTTTGAACTGTTTAGGAATCCCATGCTATGAAAATAATGTTCTAGATATTCCTAGCTAGCCCAAAGCAAACAAAATCAGCTGACCAGTTCCCCACATAAACCTTTTAACACATTTTCTGCGTATTAAACAAACATCTTATAGACTGTAAATTATGGAGCCTTTACAGGTGTTGGTTGGGCAGATTTTGTTACTTTGGACAGAGCCAGCCTAGCTGTTTCACCTCCGCTTCCAGTCTTAATGTTAAGATAAGCTAACCACCTTCTGGCTGTAGCTGCATTTACCGCACAGATACGAGAGTAGTATCGATTCTCTCATCTAGAAAGAAAGCAAATAAGTATTATTTGCCACAATGTCAAACTATTCCTTTAGAGTGCAACATTAAGTGTAATCAAATATCATTACATGCAATCATTCCCTCTCACAACCCGGCAGTAAATTTAAGTAGTGTGTTTTTAGCTTTAAAAAAGCCCAGTTAGAATGTAGAAATGATTACACTTATTACACTACTATATATATTACATATTTTAAGACATCAGTTTTTAAGGGATCAAATAGTTTCTACCCAAACACAGACACTGCTGAAAACAGATTATGGATCTTAAAACACAAAGAGCAGAAGACAGAAAAGAGCACTCCAAAGGCCAAGTGCATTTCAATAAACAACCACGTAATGTTGTCTGGGAATTGGTAAGCGAGAAAATGTCATTTGGCCCGGGTGGATTCTTGGCTTCTGACATTTAGTAGGCATTTGAGTTCCCCTGTGGTAAATCCATTTTCAAATCAGATTTCTTAAACAAATACAGAAACCATAAAAGTAAAAAGTTTCTACTGGCTCTAGCTGCCTGTGGATATAGTCCTTATTTTCTACTCTCAGCTCAGTTATTTCAACACATTTCTTTTTCCTAATGCCTAATTCTCTGACCTGCACTGTGAAAAAAAAAACAGAAATACAGGGGATCTACACTGTATCTTACTTAGTGAATTTATGGTCCCAAATAAATATTATCCTCACACTGATGGTGCCAGCTCATACCAAAGCAGTTATTTTCTCAATGATGCACACTTCGTCTCAAAGCATCAATCAAGTCTTCTGTCAACAGAGAGCAGCTCAGAATATTTTACGGGCATCTTAAGACCTTCTTCAAATCATCAGACCCAGAGAGGGAGGCAGAGAGGGAGTTTTGCCAGTAGAAAGAGAGCATCAGAATGAAAAGACACAGAATAGAGAAGGAAAATTATACAGCCAGCCATGGCCTAATAAAAAAAAACAGACAAAAGTAGAGAAAATAGCTCTACAATGATGTCCTTGGGACGTTAGTAAATTACTGTACATCAATTTTGCAAGCCTCAGCAGCTGGCTCTGACAGGGTCTCCTTAGCTCCTATTTAATGCTTACATACTCTCTGGGGGTGGGTGGCGGGGCTTTAGCATATCTGCAAGACCAGCAGGAGGCCTATACAGGCTATACAAAACAAGGGGCAAGGAGAGAAAGGAAGAGAGGAAAAGAAGGGAGAGAGAAGAGAAAGCACATCCCTGATTCATTCAATAATAGTTACCATAGTAAATGTGTTTTAGGGATGGATGTGGTCATACTTATTGTTTTGCAAAATGAGCCAGTACTTGTGGCAAAAGGAGGACATCTAGTGGTGTTCCTGGAACTAGCAGGGTGCTATTATCACCCTGGTGATGCGAACCTGGACTAAAGATGGTTTCAGTGTTTTAGCATGGCTTAACTTTACGGTATCAATGAATCTTCGATGATCAACTGTACTCTCATCTTGTCCTCTCACATTTTGGGATAAGTACTGCTGTTGCAAAGGAACTCTGGGAGTTAAAGTTATGGCTGGATGTGGATTCAATAGTAAACAATTTTTAATGTTTTGCCATCACTGTGCTGCAATTCCTATAAATTGCTGACACCTAAACATTCAAAAATTGTAAACACAGCCACAGACAAAGTACCTAAATGTGCTGATTTCAGAAGCCCGATCTTGTCTATCTCTTATTAAATCAACATTAGGCATTTGATTCCACCTGCATTTGTTATGATTGCATTACTTATGATCAAAACCTAGCAACTCAACAACTTTGCTAACAGTCAAACATCAAGCAGACGTGACAACACAAGACATAGCAAGCCAGCATATATTTAATACTAACTTAGTCCAACTGTATACACAGAAAGAAGGCCAGCTCGGTCTCTCTCTTGTAGCCTTTAATTTTACAAAGGTCTCGCCAACATCCAGGAGCCTCTTGTTTGGTCACTCTCTTTTTCTCTTCTCAGCTTCCTCCTTAATCGTCCTCTTCTGTCTCTTCGCATCTGCCAATAGCTAATGTTATGTCCAGAGGCTGCTGAGCCTGGTTATGTTGCCCGCTCACAATTTTACATAATGTTGCTTGAAACTCGCCATCTGCCTTGCATCCTTTCAGCTCTTTTTGCTCACGCTGGTAAAGCAAAAACGAGTAAAAGCCAGTCCAATGTGTACTCTTGTCCAGGTCTCCTGCTCAATAACTTTTTCTTGTCCTTGCTTCCTCCGACGTCTTCTTCGGTCTCTTCGCAGCTTCTTCAAAAGAACTTACATTGTACATTATACATTTTGCTGTTTCTTAAAGCTTGCTTGCTAAGGAGTGATGCTGGTGCCATAAAGCATTATTCCATTGTCATGAAACATTCGTGGACAGGAATTTGATGTTACATAGTGCCAATAACTAGTTCCCCTGACAAGTCAAATTTATTTTGAAGCTGTTTTTTAAAGATACAATTACTATTACTGGTCATGCTCTGACACAAAAAATCCAGTATCTGGGGCTGTCACAGGACTGTAACAAGGTCCTACCTGTCTGACAGCACATGAAAATGTGTTTTGGGGAGTGGCTTTGTACGACAGCCTGGCGAGAGGGGGTGGGATTTATTCAGTTGGATACTGTCTCTTGCTAGTCTCTCCAACGTTGCCTACCCTAGCTTTAATTGTACTGTACTTTCTTAGTAAATTAAAACATGCAAATCCTCCTAAACAGATCACTAGAGCAAAGAGAAATGAAAAAACTAATTGCTGAATAAACCAATTACGCACACTGAGCCAATTACAATCAGTCACACACAGGCTCTGTTCTTAAACTTCAGTGATGGAAAATGTCTCATGAGACAAAGTGCAGTCCGTCAAAATAATTTTACAAGATGAAATGAAAGTCTTAAATTGATTCTGTGCGACTGATTCTCAAATTTCCCAATATGTGACAAAATTATAAGCCCAAACAGGAGGCTCATTTTGCATTTTGTCTTGTACTTCTGACCTTTCTCAAAACCACAACTGTATAGTAATAGTTTTGCCAGATGTAGCATATCACTGAGGGCCTGTAGCAAACTCACACTAAAAAAATACTAATAAAATAGTAGGCTATCTGATTTACACAACTGGTTAAATGAAAGACCCATCTACCTCTTGTGCATACAGACTCCATCCTCATTTAGCAAGGTTTGTAGCTAATTAAAAGTCAAAAAGAAATTATTTTTTATTTAAAGTCTCCAAACATTTGTCCAAGTTTAGATCTGCCAACCATCACTATGTCTAATCCACTAAGCAGCCTTGGGTGTACCCAGCAACAGGCTGACTCTTTCCAGAGAGAAAAGCTGAAGACGTCTCTCCAACACTCAAAAAAAACTTGATGGGCCTTGAAGCAAGCTTTAGCACTGGCACACACACAGAGAGAGAAAGAGGATAAACATGTAAGCAGGGGGGATTCATTCAAGGGTTTTGATCAAAGTGGGAACTCTGAACCCAGATACACCCATACATTTAAATTCAAGACTCGCAAGGTTGGGGAACAAGTCAACTCCTTTGGCGCCAAGATACTAAACCCATGTCAGCCTCATTTAGGCTGGCAAGCAGTTTGTCTGGTTTAGTTTTTTAAGTAGAAATGTGAATTAGCTAATCGTTCTTTACCACACCCTATAAGCTAATGCAATGATTCCCAACCAGGGGTACTTGAACCCCAAGGGGTACTTCTGAAGTTAGCAGTGGGTACATGAAAAAAATGTAAAGCTCATCTAGTTTGAGTATAAATTGAATAATATATTTCCACATATTTGTTCTTGGGAGAAAAATCAACAAAAAAGTAAGATTACAAATTTGTGTGATGCTGAGTTATTGTCACAATAAGTTTCCAATGGTAGTCTGCACAAGACAGGCCACAGTTTTCCAACTGTCAACTGTAAAAGAAAGCCAAAAGTAAAGAAACTGTACATGGTTGAAACAACCAGTTTCTGTCACTCCAAACAGCAGTAGTACAAATTCTAACTTGGCCAAAACTTCTTAAAATACCACTGAACAATACCGTAAAGCCATTCCATCTATTGAAGAGGTATGATAAAGGGGGCCCATCTCATAGGGGTGTGGAGGTACATCAGACAGAAAAGGACATGGTAAATGATAAGACTCTCAAAATGGCAGTTGGACACATTTAATTTTAATGTAAAAATCTGCAATTCCTTAAAAGGCCCATACGGGGTAGTCTGCCTGTTGTACTGTATATCGTTATGGACTTTAATTCAGTGCCAAGCATGAACCACTTCTCAGTGGTGCATTCAGGTAAGCTCTGAGGTCTGACAACTGATAGTCATCTGTCAAAAAGCACTGCCACAGTGGTCAGGGATGTGAAATCCAGAAAGATGAACTGTGAACTAATACTGACTTCATGAAAGCATATTGTGGCTTTTGCTACATTAAAATGTTGCAGTGAAATCTCACATGGCAGTTGAACGCTCCAAGACAAAGAGATTCACAATGGCCACAGAGATTATCATCGAGGCTCAGGCTTAAGAAGAGAACACCCAAAAACTTACAATCCGGTGGAAATACCAAACAACTATATGTTTCTATAGATTTGAAGGCATTGTGTAAAAGAAATCATCATTGATTGAGACTGATTTATTAGTTTAACAGGTCTTCTGTGTAATTGTGTATTACTGATTCATAAAAAAATCAAAACACCTAACAATGAATTGCTATCTGAACACTTCTAGAGCTCTCTACAGACTGATAAATCACTGAAGATTCATAATTGTGCAGCTTTATAGTGAATAAGAAATTGAAAGTGCCATAGTGCCTGACTTCATTTCAGAGCATAAAGGTATTTTTTTAGCTTGAAGCCGACATTATTATTACAATACATGAATAGGGTACACATTTTCTGAACAGTAAAGCCCTTTTTTCCTGCATTTGGTGACCCAAATTTTCCAAAGGTAATTTGCATTGACCTCCATTACTGCACGTTCATTTATAATTACTGATATCAAATCATCTGATAGGGTTGGTCTCATTGGTGACAGGCAGAAGACCATTTATCAAGCTAAATTGTGTCTATTGTGTCAAAGATTTAACGTCAGCCCTGGTTAATTAATGTTCCCAATTTAACTCCATGGTCTACACACCAGTCAACAGATTTAAAAGTGTTGATTTAAAAAGATGATTTAATTCAGAGAGGCGCTGGCTTATGTGGATATTTTGTTTCTCGTATTCTGAATTGTTTTAATATATCTAATCAAGACATCCTAACCCAGTTAGTTCTCTATAGCCCTCCAATCTCATTGGCTTCTTTCTTTTCACAATTGCTCACACTAAATTAATTGTTAAGCTAGTCAACATTCTTCTTCGCTGTGCCCCTACGTTTCCCCAAGCTCTTACCACTGCTCTGGCTGCTGTACCTCTTTTTCTTTGTTTCTTCCTCTGGGTCAAAATCAGTGTCATTGTCAATTTTTGGTCTTCCTCTTGATCTCCCCGTGCTCTTCCTCACTGTCTCCTTCTCTTCTTCTTCCTCTTCCGTGGCGTCAAGGGACATGTCACTGTCTGATGGCTCGTCCTCACTTTCTTCGTTGCTGGAACCGGTTTTCTTTAACTTCTGTGCCTTTGATTTTGCAGGTTTAATGTATGAACGCTGGACCTTTTTTTGCCCTGCGAGTACCAAGCTGCCGGCTGCATTTCTCTTTGGCCTTCCTCTGGGTCTACCTGTGCTCCTCTTTCTCTTACTTTTTGGCATTTCTGTTCCCTTTTTCTGCACCTCCTCTTCTGTGTGTTGTTGTTCTTCTACATTGTCAGACTCAGAGTATGTGTCTTTCTTATTCTCACTATCCTGAGCATCACTAGTGTCGCTTTCCCTTTCCTTTCCCTTTCCTTTCTTCTGTTCACGTCCAGAGCTCAATGAGTGGTACCGCTGGACGTGACTCTTCAAGCTCACGTTGTGATTAAAGCTTTTGTCACAAAGCTGACACTTATAAGGCCTCTCACCTGTGTGCAGACGCATATGGGATTTCAGGTGGCTGGTCTGGCTGAAGCCACGTTGGCACACCGAACATTTGTAGGGTTTCAATCCAGTATGCACAACAGAGTGTCTCCGAAGATGATGCACATCCTTAAATTCAATCCCACAAACTCCACATTTGAACTCTCTCCGGACTCTGTGATTTGTCAGGTGGATGCTGCGTTCTTTACTGGTGGCAAACGTCTCTGGACAGTCAGGACATTTGTATGGATCTTTTCTATCTTGATGGGTCTGCTCGTGTTTAAGTTTGTCCACCCTTGTTTTGAAGGTAACGTGGCAGTACTTGCAAGGATGTTCATAGGTTTCGTCATGGATTTTGCTATGAGTTTTTAGAGATATCTCGGTAACGCATCTTTTGCCACAGATATTGCAGGAAAAGGGCTTTCTTTTGTGCACACACGTGTGAGGCTTCAGAATACTGAAAAAACTTCCACACTCTGTGCAGAGCTCATTAATTTTGAGGCCACCCGTGGAATCCAAATCTTCTTCCTCTTCGCCTTCATCTTCGCTTTCCTCCTCAGACTCTTTTGTGAGCTCTTCAGCCAACACAAAATCCTCAGTTGGATTCCATTCCCCATCCGAACTCACCTCACCTTCATCACCCTCCTCTCCTTCATCTGAGGGATCGCTTTCTTCATCACTGAAAGTAATAATCTCCGAGAAAACTGTACTGCTGATGCGGTCATCTGTTGGAATGTCCTGTGAAGAACACAATGAAAAGAAGGACAGCTTGGCAAGGGTAAAACTTTTCCAAATCTATATGGCACAGAATATTATAGCCAAATCACAAAAAAGGAGGGGCAAGCGGAGGAAACATTATGATTTAGTGAGCAAAAAGCCTATGTGCAAGGATAGGCAAAAATATTTTCCAAAAGAAAGGAAAGAAAAACAGTACGGAGCACTGAAAGTAGTAAAAGCAGTAATGCACTGCCAGTTTAGGGAAAATTTCTGCAGATGCTATAGAAAGGAAAGATGATGTGACACATTACATGATGCATTTATTGCTCATTACTCTTTCAAAAAGCGAGCTCTGACAGTCTCCAGCCATGGATATGGTACTGTGACTACTCTTTAATGCGCCTGTTAACGTTAGCCAAGCAAACACTGTTTGCCACACAGTTTGAACAAACAATGTTTTTATCAGATATGACTGATGTGTTACTGACCCACCATGGGAGTTCAGGAATACAGTTGCTTCTATACAATGCTCCACCAGAACAAACATGTCAATTCACTGCACACACCACACAACCCCTGCATGTAGTTTGACCTACTATAAACTAATGTGCCACATCTATAATCATAACAACCAAAGAACAGCCATGGCTGCTAAAGCCACAATCATAGTGACAACACCAGACAAAGCTCTGTAATCCCATAGCCATAGCCATAATCACAGGTACAGCCTTTCTCAATCAGCCTCAGCAGCGGTCGGTAAGTGTTATCGATCTGGCTGCACTCAGGGTTCCTGCAAACTTTCCATTTCAAAATTCCATACTTTTCAAGCCTCAAATTTCCAGACTTCTCTGTAGATTTTTTAGAGCATATTTGACTTCTAAGTAGGGCTGGGCAATAAAACAATAACAATGATTATCGCAATATAATTTTCTTCAATAAAAATATAACATGTTATAAATAAATATGATATAAAGGTTTGATTTAATTCATTTGAATCACGAACAAATTAGACCTTGTTTTTTTTTCTGTTAAGATGTTTATTTTGTTGAGGAAAAGGGACTTAATTCTACTTTTGCATATTTGTTGAACTAAAGATTTTATCATAATTGTTTTGAATGTTCTACCTCAGATTTATTAAGTCAGCTTATTTTCTTAAGCATAGCATAAAACAGCATAAAAAGCAGCATAAAAGTAGCATATAAAACGACGATGACGTGATGCCATATTCCAATAGTATTGACTGGTCAGTAGGCAATGCTTTTATCTCTTATTTCATTTGTATCAGTCTCTGTGGAATGAATGTATACATTATACAAGTTTCACTTTTTGAATGGAATTATTGAAATAAATCAACTTTTTGATGATATTCTAATTATATGACCAGCACCTGTACATAGCATCACAAATAACAAAATATTAAGCTTGCCTGAATGTTAATAAGCTGTGTAGTAGTCATCAGAAAAGTAAACATCTTTTCTGTGTAAGGAAACTGTACCTTTACGGCTGCATTCATCATCATTTCCATGGACACAGTGAATAAACAAAGCTGCACAGGAACATTTTCAGTTCCCATTTATAAAAGAGACAAAACATTTGGGGGGAACAATAATATAATATTTTCATGTTATGGAAATAACCTTATTTTTGTGAATAATTGAATTATTGATTTTGCTGGAAGATTGAGGTGAATTTATATTGTTACTTTGAATGAGCTACTTCGGAATGAGTTGGAAAGACCCTATTTTGTGTTTTTGTGAATGAACCGAAAAGACAATATTTTGTGCTTAGTAAATTAATTGAAAAGAGCCTATTTTGTGTTTTTTTGCCAACAAAGAGAATACTGAACATTGAACTGATACCAGAGAGGAAACACTTTACATAGTGTTATTTTGTGGGTTGTTTTGTGTGTGCATTATTGAAATCCAAATAAAAGCTGTGTTTACTGTGCTTTAAAAAACTCCTTGTGTTGTGGTTTTCATTACACTGTTAGTGTCATTCAACAATGCATACTGTATAAAAAAATATATACTGTATGTTATCTGTCAGGAGAGAGACCTGACTGGCACCCCAGACATAAATAAATTAAGAGTCAAACTGTCACAGAGTATATGTAGCACTGATTAGTTTACATCCTCTTTGGGCAGAGGTGTTTGACAGCGGAATGTCATCCAATTTTCTGTATAGAAGTGCGGATTGAATGGCTACACATTCACTTGTGTGATCTATAGTACCTAGCTACAATCTTCTGGCAACATAACAGCAATATGTAGCAATACATGGTCAGAACATAACATACATGTAATGCATTTTTTACATAGTAAACAACTGTTATTTGTACTCAGAAGTAGGGCTGGGTGATATGGCCAAAAATGTTTTAAATATCATTCCATATCTATAATTATCAGGATAAATGTCAAATCACAATTTTTTCTGAAAGGCAACATGACAACACTTGCCTAACACTGGATATGTTTTTATATTTAGTGTGTCTGATAGTCTTACCTCTTGGGTCTCTGGAGTCACTTCTGTGCCTCCTGTCAGGTGTTCAGCTCTTGGGACGCTGGCATTGACTTGGCTTTTCCACTGGAATCTGTACTCACACTGAAGACACCATTGGTTCAAAACAATGAGGACCCCATAGGTGACCTTCTCTGTCTGAAGTTTACAACCACATGACGGGCAGTTGCGACGGAACAACTGGAGGAGGCAGCTTTCATTCACAACCAACTTCCCTTTCATCTGTAGAAGCGCAGCTCTAAAGATCAATCAAAATGAAGACTTAAAAAGCCAACGTAATCAGTAATGTCATACGAAATGTAAAGAAAGTACGCAAAAATGTGGGAAGTGTAACTTACTTTTCCTTGTTCAAATCAATAGTCATGTCTTTTGGTTGCATCTGGTCAGATCCAGAGGTCATGCCGTTTGAAACTCCACTTGAACCAGGACTTACTGGGGAACCTATAAAACAAACATCAGAATTCATTCGTTAAGAAATAGTTTGACAAATTAATACCCTGTTTTATTATTTAATAAAACTCAATATTTAAAGCTCTTACCTGTTAAAGTGTGTTTAGATTTTTCAGAGGAGGAAGTTGAACAATGTCCCACAGGCTCCTACACAAATGACAAAAAACTTCTAGTTAAACAAAAGACAAATGCAATAAACTTTTCAGATTTTTTCAGAAAATAAATGGAAGCTGTATGTGTGCACTGACTGGACAATGTGCATCCTAAACAAATACATGGATAGTGGCTACATGATACTATAGCTGTGGGCAGTTACATGGCAAGTGCTCATCATACTGTATAGTCTCTTTCACACATGCCTACACATGTATGGGCCATATGTGCTATTAAGCAAGTAAGTAAAAGCAGCATTTAAATTGGGCTACACATGGACACACAAGATGTTGACTAGCCCACTATTTTACGAATATTTAAAAATGTGGACATGATGATATATTGTGTAAAAAGAACTGGACAGTAAATCTCTATTAAATAGGGGGTGATTTGAAGAGTTCACTGTGATTGTTGTGTCAAACTGTGTGCTGACAGACTGACTGTTTATGTGAGCGCTTAAAAGATAGATACTATAGTTATTACTCTTAATGTGTCTCAACTGTGTGCTTCTGGGGAAATTTAGTTAATTATATGGGACAATTATGTGGAATAAAGAAGTAAAGAATGTAAACACCTATCATACTTGTTTATCTAGGCAAAAGTCTTCTGTGTGTGATGATTAAATTGACATTTTGCCATTATCCTGCTTTGTGTTATTCCTTATAAATACCTGATCAATAGAGGAGGGGGGGGGGGGGCAATGTTTGTGTAAATTTAGATGGTGCTCTGGCACTGACCTGTTGTCTTCATCGTGACCTCAGCCACAAAAAGCAACTTTTTGTCAAACGGAGATGTGTTGAGGAGGTAGGAAGGGGACAGTGACAGACATTACTTCAGACTTGAAGCTGTCACAGCAGACTCACCACATGTTGTGGGCTCTCCAGAGGCTCTGACTTGATACACAGTGATGGGACAACACTGGACTTTAGCTGGACCGTGCCAATCAGACTCGGGTTTACAAAACAGTCATCAGTAAAGTGCTCACTACAAATTGTGATATCAGTCCAGCACGTTTCTTTGAGTCGCTGCCCGTTGACTTCGAAGAGGAACTGGACCCACTCCAGTCTCCTCTCCGGATCCTCCGGTAACTTGAACCTTTGCGCACCGCGACGCCCTGAATCACAGCCGACGACCGAGCACATCCCGGATATAAGCTCAGGTCCTTAAGTTTTAAAAAGTGTCCGGACAGCGTTAAAGTTTAATAATCAGGAGAAGTAGAAGATGGACCTTCCAACGCCAAACACAGTGGAAAGCTAACGGCTAGTTATTTTGCTAGTAGCTGTAACGGAATGGGCGGGGTTCTATAGCCGGGTTAGCGTGGTTTGCTATCAGGCGTGTGCCGACTTTAGGTTCAATACATGATATATGAAAGTACTGTCTTTAGGGGTCATTACTTACATCGTGTACACAAAGGTTGCTGAAGTCCAGGACAATGAGGTCTTCCTTCAATGAGGTTAATGAAAGCTGGAGTACATTAAACTCGTCAGGTAACATTTAGCCTGACACAACAACTGTAAAACACTGGTGGAACTAAGCTGTCACAATAGACTCGTTAATATGTAGTAAGCATACAGTCTAAGCCGCCTGACGTTACTTAAAAAAATATAATACACAAAAAAAGAGTAGTTCTATGAAGGGTTAATGGTAAACTAACTTGCGTGTAATATAAGTAATGCAGATGTGTACTAATATGCAGGTCCACAAAGACACCATTGGATGGGGCTGTTGAGCTTAGAGAGAGATACACTGCAATCCAAATATTTCCTCACTTAGCCCTAGTGTTATTTAATCATGAAGATAGGCCTAGTTTTGATTTATTTGTCCACGTTTTAAAATTCCCATCTCTGGGATGTCTGTCCTCGCCTCGATACAAAGGAGTTTTTTGTATTTGAGCCAGATCTCTATCCTGAATCAGAGTAAATGCACTGAGCAACACAATCACTCCCAGTATAGTTCACTCCCAGGGTGGACAGGGTTGATGTCTTTTATATAGCATTATTAAAAATCCTTTTTCAAAAATTTCATTTGGATGTCCAACATAAATAAACCTTCCTCATGAAAAGCACAGTTGTCAATGAAACTGTGCTTTTCCAACTATGACATCATTCAGACTTTTTTTTTTAAATGTTACCCTCTTTGCTCATAATCCAATCAATAACATAATATTCTGTCCTCCAAAATATGTAAACCTAGGCCCTTGGATTTACCTATTCTTTGAGCTTCGTCAGTAGATGAATTCATGGTCAATAGATGGCGTATCTTAGGAAGTAAAAATGATCTCAGTAAATTCAATAGTTATCTACCATTTCATTTGCGTTGAAACTAGCTGAAAACTCACGGAGTGTCTAAAATGGACAGGATTCATTCTTCGGGGAGCATTAATATACTCAGTCAATTTAATAACAATTTGCACATTAAATTTATTTCTTGTGGTAAGAAAAAGTTAATTCATTGCAAATACATGTCAGTGTCAATGTGTAAAACAAGATGTAAAGACTGCTTAAAATATTACCATTATACATGTTAATTCCACCTAATTAAAGACCTGTGACAGGACACACAGAACAATAGACACTTTTTATACTCCTTTGATTTGCCCCTGTCTGTATGAAAAGAAAAATTTCAATATATTTAGACAGAATATCTCAATGAAACAGTCAATCATCAACAAAATATGTGTCTTGCGCCTGGTGGTTAAACTCATTTCTTGGATTTGGCAGAATCTAGTCGTCAAATGTGACAGGGTAAGCATGGAAATGATTGTCAAAAGAGCAAGGAAATAAAGGTTTCCCACACAACACCCAAAAAGTCTCAATGTTCAGAATGTACTTAATTTTCAAGAATAAAGGGGTGGCAGAATGTACAAGACCTACAACAAAAACATCCCCAAGGGCATATTTGACACCATTAACAGATACAGATGACACAAACTGAAGCACTTTATCCTGAAACTGCACGTTTAAAACTTTAGTTTAATTTCAGAGCATTCTGTAAATCACCTGGCAGAGATGAAAATGGCACATTAATGCTTTTGCTGAGTGCATTTTCAAAGTCACCTAAGAACCTATCTGAAGAAAACTCCCAGCACTGCTTCATTTGATGACGGTTACTGAGAGACGCAGTTATGTTTACAAAATTCCTACATTTGCTGGCAATATTTATAATTGTTAGGCTACTGTAAATTCCTGTTTGGGTTGGTGTTTGTGGTCCTTGTGCTCTCTCTCTCTTGCGCTCTCTCTCCAGGTATGTACCGTTGCTGTGCCGTTCTCGCAGCTGCAATCTCGTTGCCGCTAATCAACTGCAGGTATAAGGCCCTCGAGGCTGGAGTGGAGGCGAGGTGTTGTGTTGGATCGTGTGCTGGGCTGGGCGAAGAGGAGTGTTGGATTGTGTTGGCGTCCTCCTTCCGTGTCAAAGCTCAGGTTATACGGTCTTGGCCCCAGTTGGACTCCAGTGAGCCCGACCAACCAGTGAGAGACTGTTTGTTGTTCGCAAGTTATTAATCTTGTCTCTTTTGTTATTTTACAGATGCCCGTCATAACCTTTGTTGTGATTATTAAAGTCCCTTATTTATTTATTTTGCCTATGGGTTGTTTTAGTTGTCCCCTAATCATCCAGTGGAGATCGTTTTCCGTTTTGGCTGTCTGATTATAATACATTTCTGTTAAAACCTAAATCTGTGTCACCTGCTTGACTTTCCACCCCGGTAATTCTAATCAGCAGTTAGTCCCCCATCCCCTGGATGCCACCGGGACATAACAATAATATTGCTTGCTTTCATACCTCATACACCACAAAGGACGAACAGGACGGTACATCAACATAAGTCTAGGATAGTGAATTAAGTAGTGCATTTAGGTGTTAACACATTTCCAAAGACTTCAGTTGTCTTATCAAGGAATTCTTCAATCAACTATTTTAAATGAGCAAGCTCATCTTTTCTTACTGTTACAGCCATTATGATATCCACGATTTCTGAGCATCGTAAGAACAGATGCCAGTATGGACCGTTAGGTGGGATATGGTGAGCCATTAAAAACAGCAACCGAATCTGAATAGGCACTATTTTTGGCTGGCTGGTTCAACTATGTTAGATTTTCGAAGAATTTTTTTAGTCATTGGCACTGGTTTGTCATTCTTCCCGATGCATACTTTTTTGTTTTAACTCAATTCTTTCATGTATGATTATGTGCTTTTGATTATGAGCTTTATAGATGACTAATTTCATTACCAGAGGCAGAACTCCCTCCAGCAAATCATGCATTAGCCTACATCTGGGGGAAGACTCTTGGTCACGTCAAAGTAAGGTAGTGCATCAAATGTACAACTACTATATACACTGTACAAAACACCACTTTGTCTGATGGATGGATCTGATAAGGCATGCACAGTATTCCAAAAGAACATTAACTTATGGCTAGTTGGCTATACACAACACCAGTTTTTTACCTCTCCAAGAATAATGAAATCCTCAATCTTCTCCTTGAAGATGGATGGCAAGAGAAGGAGTCCACCCCTGAAGTCAATTCGTAGGTCAAGATGATGCCTTACTGATATTTTACTGACGTGTTCCTGCGTTAGCCAATGCACAGAATAAACTATATAATCAGTGTAACAAAAACAATTTCACCTTCAGGTTTTAAATTGAAATAGACATTCAAATTAGTAGAATAGTATGAAATATTCCATCTATAACTGAAAGACAACAGTCTATAAACACAAGCATTTCATATATGTTCATATAATACACACCAATATGAGAACTCCTAATTATAATATACACCAAAGTAGTTTTTGGAAAACTACTAATTATAATATAGATCAGAGTCCATTTTGAAATCTACTATTTATAATATAGACTACGGAAGGCCACTTGAAGTCGGATTTCCTACTTGTGAACTTGGACAACAAATATGTACCCCGGCTTCACGAGTAGCAGCCGAATGACGTCACACAACAATGGTAGCTCCCATGGAAGCAAACACTGTAAATGGTATACCATAAAAAAAGTACAGTATTAAATTAATACTAAGTATTAACTTGTCAAAAATCATGTTGTTCAACATTTAATGATTTGCTGTAGCACGTCAAACTTTTTTAATGTCCCGCTCCATCCAGGCTGTGATTGATCGGTTGACGAAAAGTGATTGACTAGCACGTCAGCTGTGAAATGTGTTGAAATAACAAAAGGCTAACGTTAAATAGCCAGCGAGCCAAACCCAAACCTTCCTTATCTTCTGTTTTCGTCTGTCTTACCGGTTTAGCTGTCGATGATATCTCTCTGTCACAAAGCGGCCGGAGCACCAGCAGTTTTCTTGGTGCTATGGTGATAAGTCCGACTTTTGAACAATTAGCGGCGGGGCGGGGAGGCGGTTACGGTAGGTTGGTGTCTTAAAAGTTACTAGCACACTGCTCATAAAACATTTTTCGCATTTCACGTAGGATTAGGCCTATCTGTTTTTAGGGGCACATGCGGGGGCCTGGTGTGAGGGGAGATAATGAGCAGACTAACCCCCCCCACACACACACACACAAATATTTTTATCGAATCTGCACAAATCATGTAGGTGACCCATTGTGGTTTCAATATGGCGAAAGGTAGGAGTTTGCATGCCTGCATATAACTTTGAGGGGGAAGAAAGAAGCCAGCCATGCATATAGACGGGTTTTTGTGCAATATCACAGAAAAAAGAGCACATGGCACTCACAGATAGCAGCACTCTATCTTTGCGACATATCAGTTTATACGGCATATCTAGCAGCAGTGCAGGGCAAATTACTCAGATATCGTAATGAATTACTTTTTACACATTACTCATTTAAAAAGTATTAAAAACAATATTACTTATTACTGGGTATTAAAAGCAAATAGTCACGTTATTTGTTACGTTACAATTACTTTCAACCACCGCACCCCAAACAAACCCGTTCAGCAGCACATTTTAGAAATTAATCCACTACTGGAACAATAATTAACCTTAGGAGTCAACAAACTGAAAACACTGCGGCCTCTCAGACCAGAGGATGCTGTATCATATAGGTTATGGATATAGGCTATTTATAAATACTAAAAAACAAAGCAGGTCCCTCCCGACATTTTAAATATGCTAATCGTGTATTTAGAACAGCATCAATGACTATGGTTTTTACGAAGCATAATGATTTTTTAACACCACTGTCTGACTTTAGAACTACCTTTACTGTTTTGCACATGCATTAATAAGAGAAGTATTCAGTGCTTTTACAAAACACAAAACGTTGATTAACACCACTCTCTCCTGCGGAGTGGATGCCTCACTGACAGTAGCTGCCAGAGTTTCTTACTACAGGTTAAAGGCCCATTTATATTCCTGTGTAGGGTCTTTGTGCGTAGCTACGCCGTAGGCTACGGACGTAGCCATGCATTTATGGTGCGTTCCATTTGACATGGGAAGTCGGAATTTCCGAGTTCCCAGTTGGAACTTTCTTCCCCCTCAAAGTTATATGCAGGCATGCAAACCTCGACTTCGTTTAGCCTCCGCTAACATGAATGGGGGTAAAATTGTAAACGTGCGGTTGGTATAGCCTTTTCAAATGTTATCGACCAAATGGATCACATTCTGATTGGGAAACGAGTCATTTCGCTCGGGTTTTGACGGTCAAATATATTGATCCACCGTGTTACAGCCGCTGTTTTGGCTGCTAGTAAAAGTTACTTCAAAGCACAGGGCACATCCTGTCAGCTCGGAGGCATTGCGAGGCTACCCAGCCGACCAATCACAGTGCTTACGGTCTGCGTCGCCTTGGACGTGTAGTTACATTTTTAAGGAGTTGCATGTCAGATGGCGTAGCCTCTGCGTAGCCCCCTACCCTATGCCGTCACCTATGCCGTCGATTCGACGCAGAAGTTACACTTCTGCTCTGCTGCTTTAGCAGATGCTTCAATACAAAATTGTTTGCAGTTGAAAACTTTTTGCTGGTTGTACAAAGTTTTTAATGGAAGACAATGTTCTTTGCATCTCCGACTGTGACACAGCTAGGCTACTTTCAGCTGTGGAAAGAATGGCTCTCTCCATCGTTCTCCATTCTTCCTTAAGCTTTTTGGCTAGCAGCTGACTTGAAGAACATAACGACTCAGATTCAGCGATCGTCGGGAAAAGGTCAGCAAAATGAAACACAAACCGATCCAAATGGCAGTTTATTATTAAGTCAACAACAATTTACAAACAATGCGTAGTCTATTACACTGATACTTTAATTGAGCCAATCATAGTTAGCGTTGTCGATTTCCACCCATCAACTGCCGAGTAACCAGTGACAGCATCATCAAAGCGCTTTGATGTTTAATCAGCCAATCAACATCACCCGTGTGTAATATGATCTGGTAAACTGCGGTGCTGATAAAATTCACTGAGGGAATGCAGTAAAGCTTCCCATCAAACAACTCGTACAAATGTAGTTATATCGATGAAATGACCCCACCATCAGCAACAGAAGGACTTTCTGAACATGTTGATATATAATATGTGTAGAAAAAGTATTTTAAATTAGCATTTGAGAAATTTGAAAAACTGGTACTTTCTGCTTTGGGCCAGACATTTTGATGCTGATTTAAGTTAGCAAAGCCCACAAATGGAGGAGCTAACTTAATTGTCACTCGTCATTTGAAAAGTCACAAGCTCTTTATTTACTGTACTCCCCAGACCAGTTGTCCATTAATGTACACATACGGAATAAGTGTATTTTATATTGAGGCAATAAGAATTTTCAAAAAGCATGTCATCATCATGTCATATTTGATTTTTTCTTTGCTCCCCTCGAAAAAAAGGAAGAAAAAAAGGAAGAAAAAAAGATTTAGACTATCACATATTGACTGTATATAAAAACTTGAAACTTCACATACAATGACAGTGTCATTTAATTTACCTAGCTAACCACAGTTTACATGAGTGAGTGACATGCCAATCACCCAATCACCAGAGATTATATCTTTTACTTCTTTTTGCTACCACCAATGATATCTACAATCTAAAAATATAACTAAAAAATTGTATAATGGTCCCTGGAGAGGAAGAGTTTGTGTTTTACAGTTTGTACTGCCTTTCATTGATGCCAATTTAGTTTGAAAGCACTTTCTACCCTTTCTGTAAGTAAAAAGATGCACTTCTGGCCTCTTAAAGATGTATGTGCCGCCTTCAAGACCCCCCTTGGTCACTACGAGTATTTAGTCATGTCCTTTGGCCTCACCAACGCCCCCGCAGTCTTCCAAGCGTTAATCAATGACGTCCTCCGAGACTTCCTCCACCGCTTCATCTTCGTATATCTGGACGATATCCTGATCTTCTCTCGCGACCCTGCCCAACACGTCGAGCATGTCCGTCTGGTTCTGCAGCGGCTCCTGGAGAACAGACTCTTTGTCAAAGCTGAGAAATGCGAGTTCCACACCCCCACTGTCCAGTTCCTTGGTTTCATAATCGAAGTGGGGCACCTCCGACCCATCTAAGATTCAGGCAGTTACAGATTGGCCAACCCCCACCTCCGTTAAACAGGTACAGCGCTTTCTTGGCTTTGCAAACTTCTACCGTCGATTCATCCGCAACTTCAGCACCGTCGCCGCCCCCCTCACCCGCCTCACCTCCTCCTCGGTCCCTTTCATCTGGTCTCCAGAGGCCGGCCGTGGGAGACCGGGAGTTGCTG